GTTGCGCAGTGGATTTTGAGCAAGGGTATTAAAAATGGTGGATTTGCCGCATTGCAAATTTTGACTAATCTTTTGATTTGTCAACCCCATAGCTTTGTACGCAGAAATTTGACCTCGTTGGTATGGAGATAACTCCTTGCCATAGCTCCTGTTAATTTCAAGAGGCGCCAGAGCCTTGCGTTGAGCCATAGGAGTTGTTTGAAAAAGGGTGTAAAAAAACGCGTGTTCAAAAATAACGCGTTTTGGTCCGATACTTTCGCGCGGGGCTGTAAGTTGCAAGGAAGACAAGTGAGCCTCCTCGTCTCTAATCGTTGAGCGGGCCAACAATGAGCACATATTCCTGCTTATGCTGTCTCACTCTCATACACCTTTCATGTTGTGTAGCGTCGCACCCAAAAAAACCCCAATTTTTCCTCCTGAGGGCTATCCTCACAAGATCTACTACGTACTAACTATCGTAGGAAATACTCGATCAGGTAAGGCGCCGCTATGTCAGGCTGATCTACCCACTTCCCGATGCCGGGGATGGGACCGAGGCCGAAGCGGGTCCGAGATTTCGGCTGGCTCGTACTCGCTACATGTGGACGGTGTAACATAGAGTCGAATTGGGGGTTTTGGCCCCCTTCTGGAATTGCGCTACTGGTATGCTGGGATTGGAAATGTCCTTTTTGGGAGATGTGTTGAAGGGTGTAACAAGGGCTTCAGAGCACAGGAGTAATTAAGTTTCAGGACGCTATAGAGGGGAAGGTGTGTATGATGAGGCTGGATTGATTGGGGTAGACCGTGTGAGAATACTAAGACTAGTTAGTTAGGACTTTGTCGTAGTATCACTACGAGAGAGCGCCGCCAATTTTTGTCCGTGTACGTAGTACGTATCCGATTACGTAGGTCACCGTCCTCGAAGAGAAAATGTGTGATAGAAGCCCTTTACTGTATTGATTGCGAAACTGTTGAAGGAACTGGACTGCCCACCGCTGCCATGTGTTGGCTGTGGAAACGAGAACGGAACGAGCCGTGAATTGCCCCAAAAAGACTTTGCTGAAAGTCGCTCAACCGCGGCGCGATGGAAAAGAAAAAACAAAGCTTGCATATATCAGTTGCTGGGACAAGCAGCATCGTCATGTACAGAACCACCAACTCCCTTAGTGTTCAATGTCATAAAACGTATAATCGTAAGCACTGGACCTAGGAATGGTGGATCCAATGCACGAACGTAGTGGACAATTCATCCAGAGGACATGGGAAAGTTTCCCTCCTCACGTTGTTGCCTGGAACTTGAAGAAGCAACACCTGGGGCTTCGGCCACATCAGGTTCCGTTGTTGGCGCACCTACCGCTGCAAGTCTCCCTTGCACTGCCGCGACAGCTTCCTCGCTGAATTGCTGTCTCGCTCGCCTCGCTGGCTCTCGTTCGCAGTCCGTGCATCTGGCATGTAAACAATTGGCACATCTGTACTCGCCTTCCATGAAGAGCTTTCGACACTCATGACATGTCCATCTCACTCTTACTCTGGGTTTCTTCCATTGTCGATGTATTCGCTCAGGCTCTGCTGGGATGATATCGCCTGGGTAGCCATTAGGCCACTTGTCGAGTTTTGGAGGTACCCGCGGACATTGAGTGCAGCGTAAATGTCTGCAATGTGGACATGCATTTGAGTTTCGGACAAAAGGCCGCAGACATTTGCAACATGTCCGATGGACTCTTTGCACAGGTTCTCTTCGGATCAGATCCTGTCCGCCTGTCCGAGATGGCATGACCACTGGAACTTCTTTCCTTCGTCTTGGCCTTTTGGAAACAGCTCTTTCCCCAGAGCACGGCACCTCAGCTTCGTCTCCGCCCTCGTCCGCCGACAGGGCAGCAACATTCACTGACGCCTCCTGGAGAAGCACCGTTCCTGCAGCGGCTAGGAAGGAGGGTCTGTCCGGAATCTCCAGAGGGACTGTCCCAGGCTGTCCTTCCTTGTTCTTATTTCTATTCTTTGGAGGCAGTCGAGTGCATTTCTCGCATCTTCTGTGATGACAATTTGTACATTCTTTAGACACGGTATAGTGAGTCCGGCAATAGTGGCATATGATTCTGACCCTCATTCGTATGCTCTTCTCGACTCGGGAATTTTGCATTGCAGGCCTGATTGGCCATGTAGATTCGTTGAATTCCATGTTGTATTTTGATAACATTGCCTTGAACCTGTTGTACTGCTCGGTACCTCGTGCATCAAGAGGCATGTGAATCGTGCTCTGGTGGCACGTTGCCTCTGCGGCTGCAGGTGATGGCATATCTTGAGCTGGAGGAAGATTACCGCTGATATTACTAAAACGCTTCAGTATGCTTCACAAATGTCATCCTGTCCGCGAAACATACCTGTTCCTGATCGTCACTGAGGGATTTTCAGCTGCAGTCAAGCTTGAAGGGCTTGCAACTGATCCTCGAGCTGAGGAACCCCTTCGCAGAAGAGCTTTGAATCGTCGAATATAGCGTCCAAACCCATTTTTCCCGCGCCCCTCTTGACTCATGACTGTCGATGTGGTTATCGTTGCTGTTAATATACACAATAGTCATCTGTCATCCATGCGTAGCTCTGTGCAAAAACCGGTTCTGACTGGATTAACAACCCTAGGCAGGTTTGACAAAAAGCATCCGGAAGTTTCGTGAAACCAACTCAGTTGGTCAGTGGCTGTTCAGACTTCAAGGGAGGATTCATCTTTCTCCCATAGGTGCCGATCTTGCGGGTCTTCTAGGCGAGGGTGTGGAAAGGATTTTGTGGACTGTGGGTTGTCGTACAGAGCCCGACAGCTCGGATGGCCGCGTTTGATAGACAAATGCCACGTGCGGAGAGGCAAAGTGAAGTACGCTGTTGAGCTGTGATACACGGAATCGAACAAGGTCGAGGCAGGACGACAGCTTTGGGGATGGATGTTGGCAGACGTCTTCTCAAAGCACTCACGATCCTGCATTTCCCAATGGTATGGGTCACACAAAATTCAAGAGGGAAGAGATCGTCAAGTGGGGTTGGCACTTGATCGCGATGCACCTAGCACTTAGGGAGTACTTCTTGATCATTAAAAAGCCGGCCATGAAAATTTCTAGCAGCTGGCCAGTGGATAAAGTCAATGGAAGAACAGAAGATGTTGCCCACCCATGTAGGGTGCATATCAATTAAAAGGACGACGGTCTTCATGGTAAGCGTCAGCCACGTCCTGTCAGAAGCCAGGCATAAGTTACCGATTATTGCATTGGTACGTGCTGCCAGCTGCAACCTCTTCTTGTGGTGCCAATTAAATCCCTGATTATTGTGGAGCTTGCAGTCACTTAGGGGCGCTTTAGGCTGCCTTTTTGACTTTTCCCCCGGCGTTGAAACGAAGAGATGCGAGACCAAGTGGCTTTGGACCGCCTCCGATCTGAACCATTCCGCTGGCAGACGGCTTCCAATAGTTACAGAACAACCGGTTCGCAGTCTACTACTCCGTACAGCTACAGGCCTAATTTTTGTACCCCCGCTGAAAACATTAGTATCCGTACAAATCGTACTATGCAGAACTGAGTATAGGCGCCCACAGAATGGCCCAAATAAGACTAGTCCCTAAAATCAAGTTTCTACATTCCATTAGCATCTGTCACTACATCTACTGAAGCAGGGTAATCAAAAGACACAGCATCCTATGAATCATCAATAGCCGCTCGTAGCTTGTGCTATCATTAGGCTCATTAGTATCTATGCAGAATTGGCAGAATACATACAGAGTAGTATGAGCAGAATTTGCAGGATGAGCAAAATTCGTGCAAAATAGTGACAGGGGTAGATATGTAAAAACCACGTTTGTACAAAAATGAGGCCTGTAGCCGTAGTATATACACCGAAGCAATCTATCATATCAAACAACCTCTTGGAGTTCTTCGTCCCAAACATTGTATTCCTGAATTTTACGAACTACTGCTCCACGTGAAGCTGCACACTGACGCTCCTTCGCCTTTGACAGGCAATCATGGGTTAGTCCTAAAGAAACTAATAGTAACACGCATCGTCGCGGAGCTCATTCCAAGTAGCGCCATAAATTAGCGTTCATAATTTTATGGCCCAAGCCGTTTGGGGTAGGCCGACCTTGAATGAGAGGGGCTAAACAGTATTAGTGCAATGGGATCGAGTAACTTGATTGATTCTAACGTGCAAGGAGGAGAGAAAGCTGATAAGCAGCAAGAGCTAATCTAAGAAGCAGCGGCGCCAAGGTAGAGCTAACGGAACCGGCACGTGACAATTAGGTACAAGAGTGACTTGGCCTCTCACTCCAAGTACTAGAGGAGGGCGTCTGTTTGATAAGTATCGACAATCGTTAGTCCAAGAGCTGGCGCTACGACGATGTCATTTCTGGTACTTCACCATGTCGGTATACTATGTAAGGCATTTGCGCATCAAGGTTAAACCTGTACTACATCCTTTGCTTCAAACATTCATTTTCAACATATCCTGATGCGTCACACCTCAGGGACATCTGCATTTGTGCGACTCGAAAGATGTGCCGCTCGACCCGTAACTTACCCACCCAACTGCAGATCCCGGGGGCAGATGCAGAAGATTGACTTGATGCCGCTTAGCCGAGTATGTTGTGTCTACTACGGTACCAGGCATACTTAACGTCACCCGCACACTAGTAACAGGGTACCAAAACGTCTCCTTTAAAAGCTCCCTAATGCTATGAGCTCGCTGTCAATATCAAACGCTACAGGGTTACAAAGAGCTACGAGAGGCCATAACAGTTGCTTGGAATACTGTATTAACAGCTTATCTCTTAGAACTGCTTAAGTCAATGCCAGTTTTAGGTGCGAGGCAGTCATTGATGTTAATGGAATGTGCACTTGATACTGAATAGAATAGACTAGTCCTAATCGAGTGATTTGGTCACGTTATATCTTGTAGTTACAAGCTATCACTAACGAATGAGTGACATTAATTACTGTGGTAGCAGTGGCCCAATGGGTGCACCCCTCTGGTACCTACCAACGGGGGGTTGCACTCCACTGTAAGCCCCGCGCGCAGCGCGTGGCAACCACGTAATACTAACACGAAATCATTGCAACGCAAATCTAACAATTATGTTCCTATTTTGCTTATATCTCTACTAGTGCTTTATGAAATATAATGAAATTTAAAATGTAGCTATTTGTAATAATGTTGTACTTATCATAACTGTCAATGCCGCCACTAATGTGAGCTTAAAAGGTTTAAGGTCGAACTATGGACTTCTTGTTGGTGGAGATGATAAGCTTATATCTGCCGCGCGGCTACCAGCCAATGATTAATTCGGTCATTTCACGCCGGAAAGGTGGATACAACCTGAACTTGTGATCAAAAATTTGAATCTAAAATCAACAATCACCTTTAATGGTGATTGAGCACTGAGTCCTCGTTTCCAGTATACCTTTGGTCATTGTTCTGCGAAAACTAAATGCTCAAACGCTTTCATATCCATTCCACCTTTTTCGTCCAAAACAGCAACTCCATTAGTACTAGAAGAGGCAATTTGCCAAGGTCATACCCCTAAATAATTCTAATAGAGATAGAACTATGAAAGCGTGCAACACATTCAAGTTACTCGGGCTTGTATAGAATAATAACACAGTATCTACATTCAGTGGCTGGTGATGAGTAGCTGTAAGTTGAGCTGTGCTTCTTGGTTGATGACGCTCGAAGCTCTGTCTTGTAAAGAATTATAATATTCCAGCCTGAGAAGGTTTCAAGACTGGAACCATAGCCCATCGTCGCCTCCCGTTAGTCCAATAGATCCACCAGACAGCCTTGGAAACCTTACATCTTCCAACTCCCAATCCTTCTCGCCCGCAGTCCAACCCATCACTCCTCCCCAACACCCAACCTCTTCTCAATGCCCTCCAACTCCTCTGCACTTTGTATCTCAATAACTCGGTTGACCTCTACAGTACTTCGCATCAGTTCCACGGCCCCAGCATACATCATCCTCAAACTGGGATTGCAGTTCTCTGGTAGATAGTACAGTAGTACGTATGGTACCGACATCCTTCCGGAAGGCTAAACCCGACTGTCAATAACCATATGCGTCCCCAAAGGGGGGGATAGCAAAAGTACCAATGTAAGAGGATAACTTAATAGCACAAATCTTGGACTCGAATCAGGAAGCTCATCCGCCAAGTCCAACATATCTGAATATGTCTCATCGCTTGCGGGTCTTATTTCTTGGGTCTTCGCATCGATCATATCTTGACATGTCAGTCAGCTATTCAACACCTTTAGTCTTGAATAGGTGGGACATGGAAATAGGTGGTGAGTACAGATGGCAGCCTGCGCATCTTTCGCCCTTGAAGTTCCCAGACGAAACTTTCGGAGCTTGTCTCTCGTTTCCGGTGAAAAAGTGTACAGTCGTGATTCTGACTGACATCATTAGAGAAGACTAGATATGTGGGTCAGAGTGGTTACCATATTAGATGATGTTCGTCGTGTACAGGTTTCGTTTCTCCTGTCTCAGGGTCTCGACATGCACGCAGATCACTCCGCAACCCTCCCCGCACCTCTTAGCCTATTTACGTAGTACAGTGTTGCGAAAATAATGTACAGGGGTGCCAATCGACTTTGTCGACGCCCTGGAATCATTCTCCAGCTTGCTCTTCCCCTTTACCGGTTTGCCCTCCAAATTCATTCGCTCAATGTTCTCTCGCCTCAGTCAAGTCGCCCGTCATCTTTCCCGTCCTCTCCCAAATTACGCCCATAGATCAGCTGCTGCTCTCACATCTTCTCCGACCACCATGACATCATCGAAACCAGCCTTCAACAGCGATGGGCAGAGAATGATACACACTGCCGGCTGCATCATCATTGGAGATGAAGTTCTAGGCGGAAAGGTACACTTGATGTCTCGGATGCCGGCATTATATATGCTGATCAATGGCACCTTGCATCCTACAGACAATCGATACAAACTCCACATACATGGCAAAGTTCTGCTTCTCGCTGGGCATGGCGCTGAAGCGCATAGAGGTGATTGGTGACGATGAAGAAGAGATTATCGAGGCAACCAGGCGCATGAGCAGAAATTATGATTTTGTGGTCACCAGTGGTGGGATTGGTCCAACGTGTGCCTATCCACCCTTACCGCTCCAGATCAATCACCTAATGCTCAATAGACACGACGACATTACATATCAATCAATAGCGAAAGCCTTTAACCTGAAGCTGAAGCTCCACGAAAAAGCATTGGAGAAAATGAAGAGGATATCGAAACCACATAAATCTCAGCCCAACTTTTCATGGGACAAGCCGTCCGCTGCGCTTACTGCGAAGCTAAGAATGGTAGAATTACCGATTGACGAGACCAAATCAGACGAAGAACAGGTGCTTTTCGTGAGTGAAGATCTATGGGTGCCAATAACTGTGGTAAATGGAAACGTGCATATTCTGCCAGGTGTGCCACGGCTCTTTGAAGCACTGCTTGATGGAATGAAACCGCTTCTCCTTCCAAGATTGACAGATCCGGAGGGTAAGGGCATATACAGACTACTGTTTTCGACACCATTAGCAGAGAGTGCTGTAGCATCATACCTCACAGAGTTGGCCGCCAAAGTTGAGCCAAAAGGCGTAAAGGTAGGGAGTTATCCAAGGTGGGGAAAGGCGCATAATACGGTGACCTTGGTTGGAAGAAACAAGGAATTTATGGACAGTTTGATTCCCGAGGTCGAGAAAGGTGTAGAGGGAAGGAGGGTCATCAACGAAGAGGATGATGATAGTCCAAGTGAGGCGGAGTCAAAAGGTCCCAAAGACCCGTGATTCTTCGGAGATGGACCAGTATATTTCCGGACATGCATCATGAAGCAGGGTAATCACTATTACCGATCGAAAAGTTGCTTAGGTGTAAGCTTCAGCTCCCGATTGCTCAAAGCCTTTCGCCGCAGTTGATGAGACGCTCTTTCGACACTGCTGCTTAGGGGTCCAGATACTTCGAGACAAGGTCCAGTAGAAAGAATCTTACAGCCAAGCACAAGAGAAAAACTTTGGTGTCAGCGCCGGACCGTTAATTACGTCCAGAGCTCTTCACTGCTATGGCTTGTTAAGTCATAGTTGATATTGTTCCGGGATTTGGAAAGACTTCCCCGGTCGACCGTTGCAGCACGTGCTTGCGGGTACAACCCGCACACGTGGAAGTAGTCATGTAATGGAGTTCATAGGTTCCCCTGCTAATCCCTTGCAGCGAGTTCGGTGGTAGAATAGTAGGAAGACCAGATTTGGTGGAGATCTGTATGCTCAGAGCCAGATCTAGCCGATCATGGATTGATCTTCATGTGCTCATATTGCATTCGATCCCAGCAGCTCATTCGGTTGTTGTCTTACTCTAACAAAAGGGAAACAGATCGAAGCACTGTCTGGTTGGTGCTTGAGGCCTAAAAAGATCCGGCATGAACCACTTTTGGGGTGGGGAATATGCCCGAGGCCGCCACAAGCGCGAGTATAAAATAGTTAAGGTAGAGAGATTGCGAATAAAATTGTGAGAGTGAGAAATCAGCTAGAGCTAAAGCAGGCGACCTGAAGGCAGGTCAAGAACGTCAAGCGAGTCAGGAGGCTTGAAACAGGCTTCGTGGGGCGAGACAGCGGTGAGTCGCCCATAACACAGAGTGCCCAGATGGGTTGCTGGACTCAAAAGGATGATGGTCGAAGGGCAAACATTCTGTTTTCTAAGTAAGTGGTTGTGCAGCTTTCATTTAAGCTACTACGGACTATGTAGGGCTAAATTAGCAGTAGTGCTTGACGGAGTTCGTTAGAAGGTCAAGCTCTCCGCTGCAAAGAGACCGTAACTAGTAGTAGACACACAGACAGCACACAACCCCCTGGCCCAAACGAGGAAAGTTGGAGTTTGGACTGCCCTCTAAACCACCAACCACAACCACACCTCACCTCCTTAGTTGGCACCCTTCACTTTTCAAATCCAGCGAACATTTGACCAGAAGTCTCCAACATTTCCATAACCTCCAGAATTTTCCACCTCCGATCGTCACTCCCCAGCTGCATCTCGACCAACCCTCAAACGATTTACCATTCCTCGTGGCTGCACATCGCTGCTTCTCCACTTCCCATTTCGTCGTGCCTGCCGATCCATTTCGCCTTATCCTAGCCTTCAACGAAGCCACAAGCTGGCGAAGTGAAAGCTCCTAAAAGTGTTCTTTTTCGTGCTCTAGGCTTCCAGTCACGGAGATCTCGCCCATCAGCACCCTGTCGTGACATAAATCTGTTATCGGACCAATGGCCTCTAAAGTGCGCAACCTTATCGTGGTTGGCTTTGTTTTTGCGGCTGACCACAAAATAGTTTCTACGAGAATACAAACTGGTCGTGGTGGGAGGAGGCGGCGTGGGAAAGTCCTGTTTGACGATCCAGCTGATCCAAAGTCACTTTGTCGACGAATATGACCCAACGATAGAAGGTCTTCATCTCAAACTGGCGGCAAGATGTGCTCCTGACTAATGCCTGCTCTAGACTCGTATCGCAAGCAATGTGTCATCGACGAAGAGGTGGCGCTGCTTGACGTGCTGGATACTGCGGGTCAAGAAGAATATTCGGCAATGCGGGAACAATACATGCGAACAGGAGAAGGTTTCTTACTTGTCTACTCGATCACATCACGGCAGTCCTTTGAAGAAATCATGACCTTCCAACAACAAATATTGCGCGTCAAGGACAAAGACTACTTCCCGATCATTGTGGTTGGAAACAAGTGCGATCTTGATGCAGAGAGGCAGGTATCAAAGCAAGGTACGAAGACTGAGTACGGCATATATGATGTTTCGGGCTAATTTGCGTACAGAGGGCGAATCGCTAGCGAGATCGTTCGGCTGCAAATTCATCGAAACCTCGGCCAAATCTAGGATCAATGTCGACAATGCTTTCTATGACCTTGTACGCGAAATCAGACGATATAACAAAGAGATGTCATCTTACGGATCAGGCGCCCCTGCGATGGGTTCGCATACCCCAGGTCAGAAGATGGAGATGGGTGACTATAATGAAAGTGCTGGGTGCTGCAGCAGATGTGTGGTCATGTAGGGCGATGTACACCCCGGAAATCAATACTAAGCATATTCGGACGCTGCGGGGACTTTGAATTAATAGTAGTACCGGCGACACAAGGATTGCGATTGGGCGAGCGACTTGGTTGGGAAATATCTGCTGAAGAAATCAGCGCTGGTTTGTGGGAAACCAGAATGCATCGGCATTGAGAAGGATGCTCAAAACTTCTTTTGATTTTTCTAAGAAGACATGGTTTGCTCAGGAAGGGGTTGAAACCCCTTTATCAAAATGCTCGTCGGGCCCCTACCAGACATTAATCAGCATGGCTTCAGTTGACCCTTGAGAAATGCAAAATGCTCACAGTCCACAGAACTATAGGGGCTTTCTGTACATGCGGTTCTTTGTGAAGCCTCTACCTATATCTACTTTACTCCTCTGACTGAATCCACTTTTCTATAGGCGTGTGCACAAACTAAGCTTACTTCAGCTTTGCAGCATCTGTTATGCTTTTATATCACTGGTCCTCTTCTCTATGCACATCTACCATTTTCCTTCTCTCTGTCTGTCTCTTGCAGTGATGATGGTCGTTCCTGTCCATGCCCGGACGGCCTCCGTAACACAGATTGCCTGCTACTCTGGCTCAGGTGATGACTTTGCGGTGAGGAGGATTTAGAGCTAGGTGACAAAAGTGTGGTGCTGCTACCCTACAGGGACATAGCAAGCGCTGAAAGCTCCACAAAATTGAGGATCTGAACACCCAACCTATGTTGGGACAATTTTCATAGCTTGGCGGACCACAGATTAATACATCCAGGCATTAATACCTATGTTTCCATTCGTCCAACATTACTGTCCGTTGGGGGAAAGAAGGTAGACGGACTGTGCTACTACTACTAGTAGCGGACGGGAGCTAGGTCAGGATCCTTGAAGGGCTAAGTCATGTTCTGTCTATTGGCGGACGAAACTCTCAGGCACCCAGTAAGGAAGCTCGGTACACAATCATGGCTAGCACAACAATCAAGATCGGGCGGTGACGTTCTGACATAGTTACCCGACCGTCTTTTGTTTAGTTAGTATAAGCCTACAGAGCTGGCCGATTGAACATTCCGTATCTTGGAAAAATCTATTGCAAACAGCAGCATTTCGAGATCCGCTGCATTTCTGTCAGGAAATCAATATCCAGCAGAAGACAGAAGAACGAGGTCTATATCAGGAAGCCCATCCGACTTCTAGAGCTAGTCTAGAATCTCAATCTGGCGGCCAAATTAAAAAGCAGGTACTGGTTTAGAAGCTCGTTCACCTTCCTGGGCTAGTCACCAACTTGTCACTGGACGGACGAACAGAAGACAACATTCTTATCAGGAAGTTCACTAAACCCCCCATGGCTCATACAGAGCTTCAGACTGATGGACGGCACCAGAAGAGAGGTCCTCATACAGAAGCTCAATCAATCTATAAGGCTAGTCCTAACTGGTCACCGTGCGAGTGAGAGACCACTTCAGACCTTCCAGCTAGGGAGATCAATATCTCGCCAGAGTTGGGATGAAAATCTATCGACTGACGGACGAAAAACAAACAACATTCTAATAGAGCAGCTCAGCGTACAAATCAGGCTAGTGCAGATGCAAAGTACCCTCGGGCGGATGATAAACGTCTAAAAGGTCACCACCATAGGAACTCCCAGGACATCCTTTTTCCCTTGCCGGCGGACGAAAGATCTCCAGACTCCCAGATGGGGAAGCCTAACGCCTGTCTTGGGTTAGGTGGATTGTTCAAGCTGGTGGACGATAGCCTTTTAACACATTCCCAATAAGAGGTCCTCTCGGCGTTTTATTCCCTTGCCGGCGGACAAAAGACCTCTTTGAACTTCTCAATTAGGGAGTTCACTATCTGCGTTAGGTTTAAGGGATTGTTCAAGCTGGCGGACAAAAGGTCTTCAACCTATTTCCTATAAAAGAACTGCTCCGCATCTTGAACTCCCTGTCGGCGGACGAAAGACCTCTTTGAGCTTCTCAAATAGGGAGCTCAACGGCTGTGTTAGGTTTAGAGTATTTGTTTAAGCTAGCGGACGAAGGATATTCAATCTATTTCCTATATAAGAACCGCTTGGCATCTTGAACCCCTAGGCCGACGGACGAAACACCTCAATGCATTACTAGCCTTGGAAGTCCAATGCCTATCCTGAGTTAGGATGATTCCTCACAATCGGCGGATGACAGACCTTGCAACCAACCAAGTTGGTAGTTCAACGTCCCTTTGGGGTTAGCATGACCTCCCAGAATCGACGGATGATAGGCGTTTCCGAACTATCAGACAGGGAAGTCTAACGCCTGTATTAGGTTTAGGTGAGCTTCTCCAGGCTGGCGGACGGACAGATCTTTATATGTTACGGAACGGGAAGTACAACGGCCCCTTTAGGATCAACTTATTCCTCCACAGCCAGCGGATACAAAGATCTGTATGGATCCCACGGGGCTGGAAGCCAAACCGTCTGTCTGCCTGTAGGGGTAGGGGCTACGTATACTTACTTAAGCCAGCAGGCGAGCAAGTGGAAGACAGGTCCCGCAAGGTACGGGGGGAAGGGGTCAGGCTCAAGGTCCTTCCTCAGACTGGACATGATAAGGATACCTCTACTGCACGGCAGCAAGGAAATCAGGGCGGAATCTGGGCATGGCTCTCTGTGGTGAATTCTCTTCTTTCTCCATCCCTTTCTCTTTCATGTGCACTAGATACGTAGGACCAGCAGCTAACCCTCAGCGATACAGATACTTACTCTCCCTATCGTTCATTATGCAAGTCATCAGCCACAATCACTCTACCTGCTGTCCAAGCAAGGTAGATGGGAGCTATAGGGTGTGATGGAGGAATGAAGATGGTCTACGAAGATTCCACAGCTTAGAGCAGATCCAAGTTCAGCATGAGGATGGATTGGTACAATCGAGTATATCTCCCTAAGATATATGCTCATATGTATAGGGTGCTCCAATCTGGTCTCCTCTTGCACAAATGGACAGCCAGCCACCTAGCTGTGTTAATGTACAAATAAATATGTATCATTTCCCCTCTCCTGCAGGAATCCAGGTCATTCATACCAATCTATCATGTCGTATCCTAACAAGAGACAACCAACCATACCAGCGAACATGTTCAAAGGTCTCCATTGTTGGCCGACTTTGGATGTGATCCGGATTTCAAATCGGTTGAGTATGGGGGATGATGTAGTTGGGCTATGTGCTCCCAGTCATGGGCTTGAACGTAGATAATTTCCGCTGCATCAAAAGGTCGCAGGTCATGTTGTCCCCATTACAGTGATGGCTTGCAGTAGTAGTAATGAGGCTACATCTTGATTGACGAAGATGGCCGCCCAGAAATGCTGGTGGTAGAATCTATCTTGGCGGACTGTCCATGGGCATTGTTGTACTCGCTTGGTGACCTACCTGATCACGAAGCCGAGATGTGCATTTCAGCGGCCTGCATCACCGCTTACCCAACTGAAGGGTGTGGAACATCGTCGAAGCCGACGACCGCTACCATGTGAGTTGACATGTTAAATATAAGGTTAGTATTCCAACAGAACAGCCCAACATAGCAAGAGGATCGACAGCAAGAAAAGGCATAAGATGAGGGCCCATGCAGATCAGCCTCAGCCACTGAGACCTGGGGACTTTGCTAGATGACCTATCTGTCCTTGCGCACTAAAGAAAAACACTCCTCCGTACGTGTCTTTAAGTCACGATGCCACAGTCCAACCGCCCGGTGCGTCTTCTGATCCTCATGTTTCTCGCCGCTCTCAGGGTCATCCAAACGCTCACCAGATCCTGCCTGAGTGCCTGAGTACTAGAGCTGCCCTACATATTGCCGCGTTCAGTGATGATCGCTGGTTACCTCCCCTCCGCCCGTTCCTGTGACCTGTCTCTTCCATAATAGAAGGAGAGCAATGACCTTGCCAGGGCACTGTATCCTGTTCTCATTGGGAAAGACGGCCAGCTGGCGGGATATTCTGGCGTGAGGAGATGGCATCTTAAAGACCAGTGAAGCTCCCTAGATCCATCTGATAGGCGCTACGTATCGATGCCTGGGTCAAGGTCCTCCAGAAGAGACGTTGAGCATGACGTCAATATCCTGAGGAATCCTTCCATGCCGCTCCATCCGCTTCAGGCCAATTGTCTGAAACTGCCACCTGTTGAAAAGGTTGAATCATTCAATACACCCCATTTCTCCATCCTTACAACATCCTCATTCTTATATAGACTCGTTGAAGCTTTTCATTCTCATATAGACTCGTTGAAGCTTTTCATACTCTGACGAAGTTAGGATACGTATATCTCGATCTCGCCACGCCCACATTGATTTGTAGTACCACTAGTATGTATTTCCTTACACGAAGTCGAAGGTGACCATCACGAGATGAAAAGAGAGGCTAAAAGTGTCATGAAAAGCTCCCGTTCGTCTGTCACTGACGACGACCATTCATTAGGCTGAAGCTTGTATTAACGATCAATGCTGTGCCTACCTATCAGTCTGCCGCATAGTGCTAATCCGGCCTTCGGTATGCAACCCGCCTATCTCCAAGCGATGTACTCCGTGAAGTGCTCAACACATACAACATCAGCCCATAGTGCTTGTGTCCTAATCAAAATGCATTACAGCCGGATGAGATCTACCTCGGAAAAGTCCGGAGGAGCACCACTATACACACACCGCCCTTTGCTATCCAGACCTTGTCTGATGTTGCTGACCCAGATGTTCCGGCTGAAATCTGCCATGCGTCTAACCTCGTCATCACTCACACCAAGGTCGTCTCTCGGCAGCCAAATCACAGGCCTTCTCGCTCGCAGTGCAGTATGTTGAAAAGCTCTTTGCACAAGAACATCTCTCTGCTCGGGTGTCAAGTCTTCTAGTTCTTCATGGATGCCAGCAAAGAGTGCTTCTGAAAGTTGATTTCGAGCAGCTTTCTGCGCTTCCATATCCTTTTCGTTGCCAAGAAGGGGATTGAAATTGTTCACAACGTCGAAAGCATTGCGAGCAGGTAGCTTGTGGCGCACGCCATCGTGATTGCTATCATGTTTCCGGGGATGCGTAGAAGGAGACTCTGATCGTGACGATTGCGCAGCGGTAGGGCTGATAGACTTGCTAAAGACCGAAGAGCGACGGTTACGGGAGCGGTCTGCCCAGCTGCTTCGCTGACCCGGGATGGGCCCGGGTAGTTTATGAACAGCAGTGTTCGCCTTTCGGCTCGTTGCAGTGAGTAATTGCCACGTTTTGCTGGTCCTTTCGAGGTCCATCGTCACCTCAGGGTTTTGATACTGGTAGGGCTCATGTTCTTTCTGACTCTTACGGTGCTTGCGTGCCTCCAGCTGCCTCAACTCATACTCCTCGACTTCTCGATCTTCTTCGCGAGAACCCTGCTCACGCCTCTCCAGCTCGTCCTCCAGATCCTCACCATCTACCTCGTCCTCGATGATACCATGCTTCTGGCGTACAGAGCGAGCAAACTCCTCATCCCGTCGGACAGCGTCATCTTCGAGAGTGATAGGTAGGTATCTGAACAATGGACTGAAAGCTTCGTTGAGCAGGATCTGATAGATGCCGGTAAGGATCAAGATCACAACCATGCCCACTCCTTGACCATAACAAGCAACATTGTCCTGATCATCGCGGACGAGGAAGAACATGCCAATGAGCACGACTTCCATGACATATACTCCGACGAAGGTGTAGTTGATCGCGATTGGGTACAACAAGCCCCCCGTATCTCGAGTAAATCTGGTGACATAGAGGGTGTTGTACCTATACACAAACCAGAAAAGGGAGAATGTAATGATGTTGAATAGCAGGATCAACGGCGAAATGACGGAATATATCAGTCCAATACATGCCAGATTGGTGTACACTGGGAAGAAAGTGCCCCATTGTATCTCCGACAATTGAGTTTGGCGTTTGAACTTGCTCCTGGCCGTGCTATCGAACAGAGGGGCAAGAATAAACCAGCTGATCAAACCACCAATCTGTACAAGAGCACCAGCACTCACGGACAAGGCCTGGAGAAGCATGTAGGAGAAGAAATAATTGCTCGCACGCGGAACATTGGTTGCCAGTATTTTCGGAACACTGGTGACTGAGTCCCTTCCAGTGAACAGGTCAAGGATGGTCGAGACTGCCGCGGCAACAGATACGACCAAGAAGAGCTGGACGAAAAGGAAGAAAAAGTAATATTTCTGGACCGAAAGCTCAACGAGCATACCAGACTGGGTGCCTTGCACTTTTGACAGAAATCTGAGGATCATGGGGAGTAGAAACATAAGGAGGGCAAGGAATACTGCGGGAAGCACACCTTGCAGTGCCGATATGAACCAGGTCGGTAATTTGAGCAGAAATTCTAAGAAGGTGACTGTCCGGGCCAGGGTGGCCAGTTGTGACAAGGCGGAAGTGAAAGCCACAGGTATAGCCCACAAAAAGATCATGGCGGCCACAAGAGAGATAACAGCTGCTGTCCGTATATAGCTCTGCCACCAGGGAATCGACATGTTTTCCCAAACGACGTCTTTTGGATCGATCTCGACCAGTCTGGGCGCCATTTGTTTTGGCAAGTGGTGACTGACATTCTGACAGGCCATGTGCGCAGCCACCTGATGATTGAATTGAATGAAAGCTGAGTTCAACAGAGGAAATCGGTCAGGATTTGCTTGGTCTTCTTCAATTTCTAGGTTGAGCCGAGCGACTTCCTTGCGACAATAGTAAATCGTGTCGACTTTCTTCCCAATCAAAGGCAGGGCAAACATCCACTGCCAGCCAAAAATGGGTAGCCGCATGGTATTTCGGTCCTTTTCTTCAACGTACTGCCTCCATGCAGCGTCCTCGGCGTCTTTCTCCCGCTCCTCGTTGTAGGCGGAACGATATCCCACAGGCTCCGAGTCCTTCGCTGAAAGACCCAGAACACTCTTCAACGCATGCCGCTTGCCCTCCGATTTCGATTCTGGTGTTTCCGGGCCTGCCATGGAGGGTTTCTTTGGGGTGATTGGACTCGGCTGACCCAAGGGTCGATGCTCGTCATCGCTATAAGCAGAGTGACCAATATTCTCCCATTCTCCATCTGTGCCTGCCAAAGAGTTCGGGGATTGGACATGTCCAGCAGAATCGCGCCCTCTGCCGCGGCCTCGTGTATGACGATGCTGGTGAGCATTTTGATGGCCGCCATCGAGATGAGTCTCAGCCTGCTTGCTGCCATCCCTGTTCAGGGATCGTGGCTCCTGGTCAGGAGGTAAAAACCCATTTGTTGTATCAATGGTTTTGTTCAAATCCTTGTCGGCTCGCTTCAAGCCATCGAGTACTCCTTTGCCTAATTTTTCAATACCTTGGGTCACAGCGTGGATTCCTTGACCCAGTACCGGAATTGGGAGAATAGTCTTCTGATGTGCATCTTCGTGGACACTGACACTCTCACTTTCGGAGTTTGAATCATGGGTGCCACCCACTACATCTTGAACGGTGTGCTGTACCTGATGGGGGTTTCCCGAAGAAAGACCGTGTCCTGTGGCATTCTGAGCACCCTTCTCGTCTCTTGCAGCCTCGATTTTTAATTTCTCCTCCTTCGTCAATCTTTTGCCCGCCTTTTTGTTTTCGGCGGCGACCTTCTTCTCGTTGGCCTTGAAACATTTCTTGATCAGGTCTGTTTCGGCACTTTCCAGTTTCAAAGCAAGTTTATCTCGGCGTCGAATCTTTTCACTTAACTCATCAAAGTTCCGGTTCAGCCAGATGTTGCGGATTCCACCAGGAAATACATCATAAAGCCCATCTAATGCCTCGACTGTGCACCATTTGCGCGGTATAGAGCTTACCAATACCGTAGTTGCAGATGCGCGCAACCGATGCTGTGGGGACGTCAGGTATGCTTGCCGCATCCTTATGTAAACTCGCAGCTCGTCAAAGGCCACGTAACAGACATAGCAAATCAGAAACAGCGCAAGTATCCAGTGGGCCCAATATCGCGAAGTGTGAGTTGGCCGAACGTTTCCCCACGCCAGCGTATCCAATCCCGTCACATTGGAGGCCGCGGCATCACCGTTCCCCGAGGCAAACGAAGCCCCTCTACCGTGAACAAAATTTAGTGGTATTAGAATCGGCAGTATCACGAAGGCGGCGGGGAAGAATATTTTAAGTAGAGTTCGGAGGTAGCGGAGGAAGAAGTAGGCATCCAGACCGCATTTCTCAACGAAATCAGAATTTGATGTGTGCACCACTGAGCTGATCCACTTGAACCACCCCGGGGGAGTGGGCGTCGTTCTCTCGCGTTCGGGTACGAGGTAGGTCCTAGGTTGACTGCGAGAAGATTAGTACTTGGAAAAGGGGCTAGGGGGTTGCGGGCGCTGCCATGACAAGGGTGGACAACATACTATATTCGCGAGAAACGGTCTTTAATTAAAACGAAAAGACCACCTTCAACTGCGAAGACGATGATGGAGACAACCAGTGAAGCAGCGAAGGCGCTTGCACTTTGCCCTGCGTATTTGTCGACATTGGTATTGCTGCTGTTCCCACTCAGCACAGTATCAATGCTTGACATTTTGGTATCGGCTGCGTGTGACTGAGAGCACACTCAAACAAGGGAAAGTATTGTCGGATGAGGATCTGCAATTATCAGCATTTGCATACTCGTAGGTGACAGCTGCTCGTGCATAGATACATTTCCAGGTTCTATTGTCCCTGCCATTCACGAGGCCAAGGACATCTGGTCCCGTTCTTGCTGAAAATAACGGTGAGGTATATGCGTAAGGTTTTAAAACCGGCGGCCAATCCACACTTTTGACTCTCGATGATAGTGGTGTTGTGGCAGTGTGAAACAGACAGCAGACACGAAGGTCAGGAGCGTGTTTTCAGGAGGATCTCTCAAGTGCAAGGATAGGCGAAGGCTGCACCTGGATCACAGAGACAATTGGAGCAGTAGCTTGTATCGTGGAATCGTGAGGGTGACGTGACAATCGCGTGGTCTTTGTCGTCCTGATGGACTTGGTGCAAAATCGAGCAATGTTTAAATTTCGAGCCCTGGTCTGGGGAAATTTTGGCGTTGGCGTTGGGCAAACGGAGCATAGATGACGCAAAGGAGAAAGGGTGCTGCAGCCACACGACGCGCCGAGGATTCCCACAAATCACCCCTTGCGGAGCCTCATAGTTCCTAGTAGCGATTCACTTGCCGCCAGTCACTTTGCTTGCCTACCAATAATAATCAACAAGAACCTTGGCTCACCATCTCCCGGACGTTTAGTGCTTAGTAGCTTGCAGCAGTCAGCAACGAAATCTAAACAATCTCAATAATAGCAAGGAACGACACTATGTATACGTAGTAACAGTAGCGCCCATGCCTGAGAAAGCCCAGGATTCGCCAACGGTCCTAGCAAGGGACCCGACCCGAAACTCAAGACGAGGAGTACCCTGAAAGAGTCATGTAACTAGTCTACGTAGTACAGGAGGAATATATGACATGCACTGCAGAATTTGAGTGGTGCATTGAGACCATGCGTTTTAATGTTTGTTCCATTGAACACGTTTTCAGTTTACGAATCTGCTAAGAATCCCTTCGCTCCACGCGCTGCCTTCACAACGCGGTAGAATAGTAGTCGAGTCCGCTAGTGGGATACATGAAGTACCCAAACCTTACGCAATACTGTGAGCTTGATCACTGCTCCCTGGCTCGCTTTTAAGTGATTGAGGGAAAACGTTTCTGAGTCCTAGAAGATAAGCGAAAGCTTTACGCTGTGTGCAGCAGAGAGAGCCTTTGGTAACTATACCAATTCATCTAAATCGTTAGACGGGTGTCAGGAGTCTATGCAACTGAAGATTCCTTATTGGCACTTCAGATATGCGCTCTTTCTGGAAATACGAATTGAGGGCTGCGCTCTGTGCTCAAAAATGCCAATCTCCGTATATAACTTGCCACGTTCTTGTTAGGTGATGAGCGCTTGACAGCTCTATCTGGACAACCGTTGATTACTTGTTAACAGTTTGGCCAAAATGGGCAAGCTGCATGTGGGACAGGGCGGTGAAGCGGCGAGATTCCAATAGTGTAACGACCTATCTACAAGTTTAGGGCTTGATAGGCCTGAGAAAGGATAGCGTAGGCTAGAGAGGGGTGACTAATGCAGATCACAAGACTTTAAATCAGGCATGCTGCCGATCACGGAGTGGCGCAAGTCAAGAGGGGGGTAGCAAGTTCCAGACAGCTTGACCTTCACGAGAAGGCAGCCAAGACGAGGTTTTGTTTTGCAAAGTGCACTGTTGCATTACTTATCCTGTTACCCACACCCAGCGTCCTGCCTAAGTTACGGAGTATAGCGGGAGATAATTCAACGCCAATTATCGCTTACTACTGGTATCCCTCGTTAGGTGGGCGGCTGCCCGAAAGAGAGCTGTAAGCCTGTGCCGTTGCGTTGCTGTTGAACTGTAGATCCCCAAATCCAGATGCAAGTGCTCCAGGTTGGTGGGGTGGATCTCCACGCTCCAAACATGCCCTGCAGCTGCCAGGCTGAGCAATAAGCATGGATGAGTGTGAGGGAAATAGCTTGAATGTTGAAACCCGAGCGACCCGCCGACAAAGCAGGAATAGGCAGGGTGGGGTCCTTGGGGCTAGCCCGCTCGAGATCAAACGTCACCCTCCAGTGTTTCGACAGTTAAGTTACAGGTGTACTTCTCAGCATGGCCGCGACCAGCGCAAGGGTCCGAGTGATTGGACAATGGCTGATGAATGGTCAGTGCAGACGCCCGGGGCTGGGTGTAGACGTCCCTGGCCGGCGATGGTCACAGTAAATATCGCCTTGAATGTGCGAGTTGAGAGACTAAGACTGATGTGATAGGATGTCTATCGCCGTTAAGTAAACCTTCAGAAGGATTGAGAGTAAGAATAGGACAGATTGGAGATCATTCAGGCTCAGGGTTCGGATGGGATAACTAAAATGAGGTGGTAAAGGACCCGTGGCGTTTTGGTGGTGATCGGCCACGAATTTCAAACGTAGTTAGTGCACCCAGCCTCAGCCCCCTGCCTAATACCGATTGTGCACCAAGCCCAACCAGAAATAGCGTGCTCATGTCTTCCCGCCATTGCTGAATCGCCACCCTCCCTTCATATTACTGCTTCCATTCCCCAAGTGCTCCGACCTTGTTCTCAGCCCGCAACCAACCGATCCTACTTTCACCATCAACAATCGCCACCCCTCTCTTGTAGCTCTTCAACCTCGATACTCATTATTTTACCGCCTATACGCATCTGCAATTCTTTGTCGACCATTTTGTTGTCGGATGACTACTCCCCCTTCGGTTCGGTCTTCTATTGTCTTCCTACCAGGCCAATTTCACGTCACCCTTGCTACATCCTTTTAGCCTCCATCAATCTATACCTCAATTATCAGCTTATCAATACTTCGATCACTCACTATAATGTCTTCTTTCTTCTACGGTGGCCATCAGCAGCAACAGCAGCATCACCCTCACAATGTTGCCGCCTCCCACAGTCACCACGGTCGTACCCGGCGAGCTCCTCGTCTGTCAGCTTCGCAGAATCCCAATCGCCAGTATCGTGCTCGTCCAATGAAAGATGTGAACATCGAGGCGCCCAATGTTACTGCATTTCGGGTCAGGTTCGAGGCTGGTCGCTCGTTTGACCTAGACGATGATTTGGAATTCTGTCCCAACCTCCTGACCGACGATGAAAGGCTTTCGATCAACTCTGGGTCCTCTGATCGATCGTCTCTCTCGAGCGGGTCGCCTGATGCATCACCCATTCAACACCAAATCCAACCGCAACAACAAGTAACGCCCGCCATATCGTTATCCTCAGCTGGATCGTCCTTCGTATCGCCCAATCTATCTATGAACCACCAAATAAAGATCCATCAACCTTCCGCCGTCCGAACCAGAAACGCAATTCCCATCGTCAATCCCAGCACAGGCATGCGTGTTGCCAGTCCACCATCATCGATCTCGCCAGGAATGATGCAGCAGACAACGGCCGCACGTAGGTGGTAGTTGATGCTCCCTGTGCTCACTCCTGCCAAGACGTGTTTCGGTTCTGTTGTCTCTGTATCATTCCTTGTGGCCGTGATCAACTGTGTTTTCATTCAGACCGTGGATGCTCGATGTCTTCCCCCTACCTGAAGCCGACCTTGTATATATTTATTCATGTCATACGACCCTCATCGAGCGACGGCGCGGCAACTCCGTACAATTTTGTTTGATCACGATACCACTTAAAGTTGAATTTTGGGTTATGGTAGAGAGCGTAGCGGCAGGGTTGAAATATCCTTGTTTTGGATGGAGTCTTGAGCATTGGATGAGCGATTCGATGATAGATGAGGAAGATTACTAGTGTTTCAATTTACTGTTTTCCAGTTTTGTGGATCAGCGGAGTTCAGAGCTTAACGGATAAGGTCTGGACAATGAGCATGTTGGACACAAGATGATACCACGGAGATGACATGGCATCGTGTTCTGTTTGGTTTGGGTCAACGGAAATTCAATTACAAAAAACATCTGCCCTATTACTGTAGGCAGCGGGTCGGAGCGCATCTCGAAGGATAATCTTCCATGAGTTGCATATACGGGGTTGGCTTTTGCACTTATATGGCTCATGGTTGGAAGACGAAATGGGGTTTTAGCCATAGATTGTCACACCAGATATCTCATCACCTTCTATAAATGTTCTTACATAACACAACCATACGTCGACGTAGATCCCAAAACGTCTATATACTGCCTTAAGGAGCGCACCTTATGCGTGCCAAGAGGACTGATAGATTCTATGTTGTTCTACGCATCAAAGGGCTGTGCCAGGAGGACTCGGACAGATTCTACGTTGTTTTACGCATCAAAGGATACTTATATCCTTCTTGTACATAGATTCTAGTTCTTCGCGCTCAATATGTCAATCCTCTGAACCCCCTACTGTTCTATTGCCCTTGCACTCCTCTGAGATCCTAACAATGACATTCCTGTTTAGGTTTGCGAAGCATCAGAGATCGCCATAACTACAACAAATCTGCTTTTGGCTCGAGTACACGCATTGATGAAATTGGACTAACAGAGGACTCTTCTCCCTGCGCTGCACGAAGAGATAGGATGCTGGAGGTTTTCGGCGTGTGACATATTGAGTACACGACTTTGCCCATCGCTGTCCCAGTCCCCCCCAACGCACGGATGTTCGTCCTCATGGCCACAGCAATATTTCTACCAAACCTGAAATTATATTCCTCCGCTTACTTGGTGCCTTAAGCGGATGGCCCGGTCCCGAGCCATGGAAGGCTGTGATACAAAACGGGGGGCCAAATGAGACGAATTCTGCATGATTCCGTCTCCTGGAGCTATCGCCTGGCATAAACGCAAGCAGGTTGCATTGGTTAACACCATTTCATTCTAGCATTCTCTTAACGCTTCATATCTCTGCTTGCTTCTCTCTGTTGCTGTTGGATGTCCTAGTTTTGGTCTTGCCTTAAGCCATCAACACTTTCACCTTGTGAAGTTGCGTTGCCTTCGCGGGCCTACCGGAAAAGCTTGAGAGTCGTCAATTAGAGTCTAATGGCCTCCTGAGTATCAACAACTTCCTGAGTAGGGCTTATCATAGTGGTAATGAAACTCACCCAAAACAATTATCATTGCTGATTTACCTACAGCTATTGTCCTCAATGGTTATCTCTATCTTGACGGCGGGGACATCAGCTTCTATGATGACGGAGAGCTGGCCCATCTTCCAGGCCCATCATGATCCCACTGCGCCAGTTTCGACAATTGACACTAATTGCTAGGTATTCAATGATACCTTCTCGATCAACCTATCCTCCTCCTGGACGAATTGAACTGTTACCTTCAATCAGATAGCGAACACTGCACCAGTTTTGAATTATGTTTCCTTATGGACAGATTCCACAAACCCGTCATTTTATGCCTGGGGAGGGGAAATCAGCTATGCGCTACCGCTTGACCAGCTTCTACCAGTTCCCAAGAATTCTGTCTGGAAGTTTACACCTGCAGATGGGGGTTCAGGCTCGTGGTCGGAACAAGCTATGCCCTCCAATTCAATCTTCTCATCTTTAACTCGACCAGCAGGCGCTATTGGCGGATACGGGAACGGGACCGAGTACCTGATGGGCGGATACTCATCCAGGAGAACTACTCCACAAACGGCAGACGTTGACGGCTTTGTCCCAATACCGGGCATAGTTTCCTATGACATTGAGGCGGGCACTTTGAAGAGTTTATCAGCCACAGACTACTCAATCTACGGCACTGCAATGTATGGACAAATGCAGTACGTGCCATTTGGTGCTGAAGGGCTGTTGGTTGTGATGGGTGGTTCTACTTCTGACGCTGTTGAGTGGACTGATAGAGGCTCAAAGTACGTCTCATTCGAAACAATCACTATTTTTGATTCTACCACCAACTCATGGCATAATCAAATCGCCAGTGGAACGATTCCCGACTCTCGCCCAAGATTCTGCTCAGTGGCGGCTAGCGGCGATAATGGAACCTACGAAATCTTTATATATGTTGGGTACGTAGCGTCTGCCTCTGGAGAACCACAAGCTTCGAATACGGCGGCACAAAGACTGTGAAACATCGCACTCGACGAGGTATTTGTTTTATCCCTATCGGGTTTTGCATGGACAAAGGCGAGTTATACCGCAGCTACTCCACGGGTCAATCACGCCTGCAATGTTGGTGGTGGTAGACAGATGATTGTAACTGGGGGTTTGAACCCAGCTTCAGCAAACGGTACCGATCTTTTCCAGGCCAGATGTCCGGACTCAAGGCGTTGGCGTGTTCGACATGACGTTAATGCAATGGAAAGGATCACTATGATGCAGATGCCCAGCCATATGTGACTCCGGCAGCTGTCAAGAGCTGGTATGCTGCTAATAGGGGGCCGTATCCTGCCAAATGGAACGATGCTGCTGTGGAAGGATTTTTTACCAAATCAGGTAACATCACAAGCTCGTGGCAGATCAATGATGGATGCTAATATTTTGCAGCCAGCTCGGTTCTTGGTCTGGTTTCTGATGCGTCGGCGGCGACGCGCTTCCAACCTACCTGCGGTTCCGCGTCAATCTGCCGAGCATGAGGGTACGGAATGGAAGGCAGAGCTACAAAGTCATACTCCACCAGAGTCGAAAGTAGAACTCCGAGGTCCAATTCCACCTGAGTACCTGACCAGCTCCAATCCATTGGCGGAGCTCGCGCAGCCTCAGACGGTGACTACCGGTTTTCGTAGAGATCTTCAGGGGCAAGAGTTACCTTAGCATCAGCTCCGTATGCAGTGATCATAGTAATGAATCTAGACTCCATCTTCATCCTCCTCGTCTGACATGTGACACGTGGCAGATGGCAGATGGCAGATGGCAGATGGCAGATGGCGGATTGACCGAGGTTGGCCTGCACCTGTGATCTATAGATCTATAAATACTTCTGGAACAGAGAAAAGTGACAGGCATGACAGCATAGGCCTCCGGGCCATACTCTAGGCATGATGCAGTGATGCCCGCCTAACATCTAAGTATCATCTTGGCGTGATGTGCTAATCTGATGGGGTTAATTCAGCCTCAGCTTACCCGTGACAGAGCCCAGGGTCAGCTATCCCCACCCATCCATCTATCCATCCATCTACTCCGTATCCATCCATGCTTTAGAGCACGTATGAGACTCAGACGGCGTGTGATCCTTGTGGCTGTCGTTTATGTCAGCGCCGGCCCGTAAGCATAATCCGCTCTGACGAGCGAGTAGTACCAGTACTCGTCCATGTTGCATCAGCATCTCCCGCCTCGTCCTATTGGTGGCGCATATCTTGCCGGCAGCTTGGGGGCTGACGCCAGCTTTCACGACATTTCCCTCATACACTTCTCCAGCACCCCGAAAGTCAATCTTCCATATCCAAGATGGCTTCATCGGCACAGAGCGTGCTTCTCATTTCCTTGATTGCCCTTTTATTGCTTGCTACACCGAGCTATGCATTCGGAGCTGGAAGTAAGAGTGAATGGAGAGCACTGACCCATGTACAGAGCTGACAAAGCCAGATATCGCTTCGATCTCGGCTATTGAAGGACGGAATTTCCGTCACGGAGACATTGAAGATGCGCTCAAGTTGGTGGCCTGTATTAAGGGTCACAAATGGACCTCGATGATGATCAAAAGAGTATACTTCGGGTACGATTTCTTACCGGGAATCGGGAGGCCGAATGCTTATGCCTATGCTGTAGCAACTGGCTGCGCGACTACTCCCAGGCCATGGATACGGGCACTCTATCGAAAGCGCAGCCTGAAACCATCAGAATTCTTGTCTGGATCTTGTCATTTCTAAGCTTTGGATATGCCACTGCAGAGTTTGAGGTCACAGCCGAACGACTTGGTGTGTACAGGCCAGAAGAGCATATTGATAAGTCTGTTGCATTGATCGCCAGCTCTGGGCCAGTACCTGACTTGTAGTGTAGTCCCAAGAATTACAACGACGACAAAGATGCTCGTCAAGTTGATCCCCGTTTGCGAGGACCCATCCGTCCAATTGAGCTCCAGGTCGACCCGCAAACAGGAATGAAGAATTACATTGCCAATATGCACGGTGACTGGGCTACCAGCGCTGCATACGTGAAGTACAGCTTCGAACGTTGTATGTATCATGGAAGACTATACACCAACGGCCATGGCATATTTAAGGGCAAAGACGAAGATCTCGCAGAAGCTTTACGATATATGGGACAAGGTCTACACTGCTTGGAGGACTTCGGCGCACATACGAATTATGTCGAACTTGCATTACGAGAACTTGGCCTGCACAATGTTTTCCCGCATACTGGTACAGCTACAGCGATCAACCTCCGGGGCAAGCATACATTTCCATTGGTGACTGGAACTTTCGGCATGGTCGATTTCTTCCACTCGGTTCTCGGAGAAGCTACTGATCATTTCACACAAAGCGAGATCAATGAGATGGATAATGCCCTTTGCAGTGCACAATCGTCCTCTCAGTCATCCAATCCGCTGAACTCATTGACCGGCCTTCTCTCTAAAATTCCCGGAACCAAAGATCTGTGTACTGAGGCGGAGAGGTTGCAAGCTTCCTCACAAGCTCAAGCACGCGCCTCAGGACCAAGTAGTAGCACGCGTGGTGTGGGTGACTTCAATCAGCAACCTGGCCGGCATGACGCCAACGCTGCCTACCAGCAGGGCTACAATCAGCACCCACATTGGAATCAACAGCCATCTCAACCTCAGTGGGGTCAACAACAGCAACAACAGCCAGGTGCATGGAATCAGCCGCCATCACATCAATCTCAGTGGGAGCAGCAACATCACCAACCACAATGGGGTCAGCAACAACCTCAATGGCACCAAGAACAACACAGCCAACCTCCATTCACCAACCAGCAAGCTCCACCCCACGCTGCACCTCCGCAGCAAAGCGCCCAGAGACCCGGCCTCCCAGGAATGCCAAACTTCGACCCCTCAAAAACCGTGCAACAGATCTACCCAATCCTCGTCTTCCGCGACAAAGTCGTCCGCTCTATCAGTGCTATCATAAGCAAGATCCCCGGCCTCGAAGCCCTTGTAGATAAGATCACCGAAACACTAACCGTCTTCATCTTATCACTGCTCGCCCCCTTCATCCGGCCCATCATCAATGGCCTAACCACCCAACTTCAGGCAGGGAGCAGCGCCGTGGTAGACTCCAGCGGAAAACACCAGTACGAACCCTGGACCGACCCGCACTGCACGGACCCAACCCACTCGATGCTGAGCAAAGACCACTTCAGCAATATCCTCAACGAGCCGGCGGGCCAGGTCGCTAGCGAGATCCTGAAGTTCGTCGCGCCCCGCGTAATGTACGCATGGGATCACCCCAACGTCCCGGTGCAGCAAGTGCTAGACGACTGCATGAAAGTCTTCCACCACCCTGCAGCACGAGACCATCAGTGCGAGGTGCATAGAAACATGTTCGACGCCGTCCAGAAATGGGCCAGTCGCCGTCCGGGCGGGGGTCGTGATCTAGACGACATCCTCTCTTCGGAGAGTGTGCGGGCCGGGAGGAATCACAAGGATGGTGGTCAGACAGGTGGTGCTGGTGGGCATTCTCATGGCGCTCCTGGCGCTAAACCTGTGCAGCACTCTATTGGCGGGATGAGTGCCGGGTTTCCTGGTCAGCACCAGCAGCAGCAGCAGCATCATCATCATTCCCAGAGTGGTAGCGTTGGTGGTGGATACTCGCCCCAACCACAACACTCACACCACCAATCCGCAGGTAGTGGAGGTGGCGGGGGCTTCAATCCACTCGCCCAACTCTCCCACGTCCCCGGCATGTCGGGCGTGAGTTCCACCCTCAAAAAAGTCAGCAGCTTCGTCCCCGGTGGGCTTGGTGGGTTTGGCGGTTCTAGCCACGGCGGCGGTGGCGGGAGGAGAGGGCTGGATGATGATAATGACGATCTCTCATCCGCTGGACCGGCATATCAAGACCAGGGCCAAGCCGGCTTGCTGCCGCCCGAAACAGATCGGAAGAGCGTCG